CAAATCTTGTGAGTTTCAGGCTATTGCTACTAGTTATCTGGTGAATAATTTTGTTATAATAATTATTTGGATTTAGAGCTAAGCATTGGGGGGGGGTAGCTAATCCCAGTCTGAGACTTAGCTATCGGGTAAGTAAGAATAATAATAAAGGCACTTCCATAGCTTTTTATTTTAGCTGTAGCTTTTTACAGCCTAATTAAAACTTTATTATGAAACTATTTTTAACATACTTTATGCCGAAAATCTTACTAATTCGGGTTAATCGTTTGACTGTGGTGGCGGACATAAAATATACTAACCATAGCTAAGTTTAGTCCAACTTTAGTTCATGGCTTCATTTTTAGCACTGCTAAATCCTGGTAACATCACTCCACTTTTGTTTTTTCTTGCCTAGTCATTCATTTAGGTAAACCCCCAGGAAGTGGTGGGAGGCCTCCTAACGATAATACAATAGATGATATTATCATTGTGGGAGTGGGATGCAAGGCGCTATGAGCTATTGTTCGTGTGCTTGATGCTGGCTCCTTTCAGTCACTGATCTAGAGGCCATTTTCACTGGGATGCAGATACTTATTTGCATGTGTAATTTTGATAAGAATTAATAGAAAGGTTGTGACCAAACCTGCATGTTTATGGAATTAGTCAACTCATCTAGGCATTCTCAGTATCTTTATTTATGAAGCTACATTAACAAATTAGACCTATGGGATCCCTGTCCATTGAAGTTTTATGAATTTAAGTAGCATGCTAGTATTTGTGAAAGTAATTTAAATTACTGGTAAGTTTTTCTAGCCATAGATTTAGAAAGTTAGAATTTTGGTGTTTGAAATTTTTACTTAAATATCTTGGCTAAAATGTCTTGTTACTTATTTATTATAGAATGGGGGAAGTAGGCTTTTATATAGTTATATTTTAGTCTTCTTTGGGGGGGATTTGTCAAGATTATTAATAAACATATAAAGTCTACAGAAGTTAAGGGAAGTTTGCTAAGTTAATCTTTATTTGATGAACATATGTGTATAGGTACAGTAGTCCCCCTTGTCCACGATTTTCCTTTCCAAGGTTTCAGTTACCTGTGGTCAACTGCAGTCTAAAAATATTAAATGGAAAAATTCAGAAATGAACAGTTTATAAGTTTTAAATTGCGTGCCATGCTAAATAGTGTGAGGAAACCTCGCACCGTCCCACTCCATCCCACCCAGGACATGAAGGATCCCTTTGTCCAGCACATCCACGCTGTACAAACTACTCGCCTGATAATCACATAGTAGCCATCCTGATTATCAGATCGACTGTTGTAGTATTGCAGTGCTTGTGTTCAGGATTTTATTTAATAATGGCCCCAAAGACATTCACATAACTTTTATTGCAGTATAGTTATAATTGTTTCATTTTATTATTGTTAACCTCTTATTTTGCCTAATTTATAAATTGAACTTTATCATAGGTACGTATGTATAGGAAAAAACAGTATTTATAGGGTTTGGTACTGCCTGCAATTTCAGGCATCCCCTAGGGGGTCTTGGGACGTATATCCCCTGTGGATAATGGGGTGACTACTGTATGTGTAATTTTCTTATGTCCTGTAAGCATTGACTAAATAACACCTTTTGGTTACTGTTGGTAAATAATACTCCATATAAGCTCAATTACAAGTTGCTTGGCTATGTTAAGGTCTAGATGGCTATAGCTGTCACTGCATCCCCCCACCAAATTACATACCAAATGTGTGACAACTCAGCTGTGTGTGAGCATGGAATGATTAGTCATTAGTCCATCAAGATGTCTTATTAAAGAGGAAAGAGTGGGGATTTTAGGTAAGATGGTTCTGAAGACCCAGATGCCAGATATAGTTCAGGTCTAGAAACCCCCATGTTATATAGACTTGGAGTGAGAAGAGGGGCACATTTGTAGATGGGTTGCTGGTTTCTCTAAGTTTGGTGATTAAGGAAAGTTGTTGTGATAAGCATGGTGACTAGAGCTGATATGACTTACTGGGGAATGTACAATCAATATTATGTCCTATATAATATCAATTATTACCTATTGGTTTATGAATAACCATATGGAAGAGAACTTTATATACAATAAAATCATTCTATGTATTATGTAATATTCAGAGATTGATGTGCTTGCTTATATGCATGGGGTAAACGTACCAAGCATGTAGGTACTAATACATTGTAATAGGGTAGGTTATGTGACGCACGAAGACATAGCAATGGAATAGCCTACAGTTTGTTTTTAATACAAACACAGTATGTGACAATGTTTCACTGTTCATGTGCAACTTTCAGGGAATAGTTGAAGTAGAATTTCAGCTTTGAGTGCTGATGGCGGCGCTGGAGCTTCTTCCTTGATGACTTTGGGAGATTTTTCACCTTTTCTGGTCTACAAGACCAGAGTATTAAATATACTACGAAGTTCTTCATTTTAGGTTATTTTCAATTAAGCTTGTGAGGCTTGTGAGGCGCACAAGTTACAAGAAGAAAATATAAGACTGATGCAAGTTGACCAATGGTGATAAATGGGTGTTCAACTGGTTGCCTCCCAATTTCTGTTGTTAGTAGGTCTGCTACTAGAATACACACTGGCTGAGAGGGCGGAATATTTATGCTTTGTTGTTTTGATGTAAGAAGTATTGAGATAATTGCTAGAATTAGAATAGAGAAGACTCGAGCTAATATGCCACCTAATTTATTGAGGATGGATCCTAAGATCGCATAGGCAAACAGGAAATATTCTGGTTTAATGTGTGGTTGAGTATTAAGAGGATTAACTGGTATACACCTGTTGGTCTCCTAGAAGACTGGGTGAGAATAGGACTAGTATGGCTAGGACTAGAATTACAAATCAATGTCCTAGAATATCTGATTGTATAGTAGGGGTGAAATGGAATTTTGTCAGATGAAATTCTTGAAAGATTATTTGACCCTGTTTCATTAATAGTAGGTGAATAATTACTAGGCTGCAATAACAAATATTAATAGGATGAAGTGGAAGGTGGAGAATCAGGTTCTAAGTGTAGCTTTGTCAACTGAGAATCCTGATTCATTCGACTAGACTAGTGCCAATGTAGAGGATGGCTGAGAGATTTGTGAGAACTGTTGCACCTCTGACCTCATGGTAGAAAGTAGCCTATAAATGCTGTAGCTATTACTGCGAATAAGATGATTCCAATGGTTCATGTTTCTAGGAAGGTATAAAATCCATAGTATAGGCCTTGTCCTACATGAATGAATAAGACAATAAATATGGGTGCTCTGTTGGTATGTGTAGGTATCAAATAATTCATTTGTAGTCCACATTTCAGCAGATGTGGGTTAGAGAGAAGGTGGTTATTGTATCTGATGTATAAATGTATTTGTAAAATCAAGCAGATTCCTATAAGGGAGTCAAAATTTCATCATGATGAAATATTTAATGAGGCTAGGAAATCAATGAATAAGTTATTAATAACTTTAATTAGTGGGTGGGATTTACAGATGTTGGTCATTAATATTCTTATAGTTGAAATACAGTGACTTTTCATGTCATTAGTCATGGTTAAATTTCATGTGAGAATGATGATACATATTATATTTTAACTACTATGTTTATAGTGGTTTTTTAAAAACATTTTTATTAGGGAATTTGGGGAGGGGAACAGTGTTGGAGAATCGGGGAAGGGGAACAGAAAAGCTGCTTTCCTTTTGTTCTTCAGTCTAGTTGTGGAAGACGTCGCTTCACTGGCCCATGTTGGTATTATCATTGCGCTCTTCCTGGGTGAGGCAGATTGGTCTCCGGCCCCTGGACAGCCGCTCACGGCAGCTGCCGGCCACTCACAGTAGCTCATGGCAGCCCACTGCAGCTCCACTGCAGCCTATGCCGTCGCCAGAGACTCAAGGCAGCCCAGCTCCAGGTCCAGCTGTCGTTCACCATCTTAGCTGTAGAGGGCAGTGTCACTGGCCCCCATGTGGGATCCGAACCGGGGCCCTGCTGCTCAGAGCTGGCGTCCCAAGCCAACTCTTAACCAATGCGCCACTCTGCCAGCATTATAGTTAAGTTTTATAGGTTTTTCTTCAAGACCTTCATTTATTTATGGTGGTTTAGGGTTGACTATAAGTGCAATTGTTTGTGGTATAATAAATTTTTGTGGCTCTTTTTTAAGTTTAATTGTTTTAAAATTCATTTGGGGGGAATGCTGGTAGTTTTTGGTTACCATAATAGCTATGGTTATTGGGCGATATCCTGAGTTTTGAGTTTCTAATATAACTTTTTAGGAATATTTTTCTCAGGGTTGTAGATGGAGGCTATAGTAGTTTCATGTATTTTGAAGGACGATGAGGTGAAGATTGTATTTAAATTTAATAGATTAGGAGATTGAGTAATTTATGATACTGGAGATGCTGGATTTTTTAGTGAGGAGGCTGTAGGAGTAGCTGTGTTACAAAGCTATGAAACTTGATTGGTGGTAGTAACTGGTTGATCATTGCTTATTGGTATTATGGTTGTATTAGAGGTTACTAATGGAAATTAAACAGAAATACATTTAGGGCTAATGTAAACAAGAAAGAAAATATATAACTTAATTAGGCCTTTTTCTGGTCAGCGATTAGAGTTGAGATTTGTGTTTAAAAAAAGGAAATGGATTTTGAAAATACATTTTCTAGTGACTAATAATAATGATGCTGATTTTTGGCTTGCTTGAAAGGTTGACAAACAGTGAGGGCTGGTGTATAATGGTTGGAAAAATACCTGAGAAGTTTTGAGAATTTACATAGGTTTGAAGGATAATCAAATTTTAAGTTTTGTATAATAATGTTAAGTTCAAGTGCCAGAATAAAACCTGAAATAGTTATGGCACAGGTTGGTAATTTAAGAGATAGATCTATATGCCTGTCTAAAGGGTGATACCAAGTTCAAAATCAATTATCCTTCCTTACCTAGTTTGCTTGTCCTAACATCAATGACATGGCTATTACTATCACTAGGAGTACAAAGACACATAAACTAACTGATAAATTATATATTACATGTTTATTAATGGTACAACTTTTGTGTAAAATTTACATTTTATGAGAAAATCAAAAATATTTACAAAATTTTGTAAGATAGATTTGCATTGTTCTAATTACAACTCAAAGTAGTAAATAATTCTTAAAAACTCACATGTTAGAGTTCTGTGTTTATACAAATTCTTGGTTAAAGAGACAGCTACAAAGTTTATCACTATACATAAGCAAGAACCAGCTTGCTAAATACATTTCCCATTGAAAATCTACTGGTCTTTTTTTACACCATTACTGGGTTTTAAATGAAAAAAAAAAATATATATATATAAACTCATATGGCTTCAAAATTGTAACCTGCACCCAATACAAATTTATATATTGACACTTGGTATGAAGACTGTGGTAATTAAGAAAGTGCAGAAGTTTAACCTTTTCACTAATTTGTACATTTTTAGGTAATAATTAAAAACCAACATGGTGAGTATAATGGTGTCTGAATTCCAATAATAAAATATTAACTGCTCAATAAAACCTGTTTGACTGCAATGCAGTTATAGTTAGGATTCCAGTAAGGGACTGTAATTGGCATTTTAAAAAGCACAATATAGTAAGAGTTAGAATTTCTAATTTTGCTTGCTATTTAGTAAAGATGAACATTTTAGCATATTGTCTTATGTATTACTTTAGTCAAATCTAAATTTAGAATTGGGCTAACACTGAATATATAAAAAATTACATATTGTGTTATATATATTGCTAATGAGTAGATTTTCTGCTGTATTTAGTAGAGCAAGACGTTACATAAATGTCTAGAAATAGGGGTTTTATTTTTTGTAAAGCTTAACAGAACAATTAGTGGTTTTATATAAATTATCATATATATAACACAATTTATCACTTCTATGCAAAATGCAAGACACTGGTATTTATCCTTATAAATAAAATTCCCATTTGTAAATTATGAAACTTTGTCCAAAATATTTAATGCCTTCAATTAATCAGATTTGCTATAAAGTTAAAGATTTTTACTATTTAATATTAGTAGTTTAAGAAATGCTTAACCCAATCCATCACTTTAAATAACTGCCCTATTTTTAGCAGGTGGCAATTAAATAATAAAAACATACAAATTGGTAATTTTTCCAATTGTTGAAATGAAAACAAATGGCAGACTTCTCTAATGCCAAAAATAATCTTTTCTAAAATGTGTTCCTCACAAAATACTACAAAATTCATGGTCACAACACATTCAGTAAAAATATGTATACTTTCCACTGATAAACAGAGTGGAGGGAAATGCTAAATTGAGAGTTAAAGTTTCTAATTTACCAGTTTCCAATTTACCATTATAGTTTTTCAGAATTTGTTTTAAGATTTACATACTTTTTGATAGGTTAAGGTCGAATATTTAAAAGTAATGTTTTTCCCTGTAAACATAAGCTATTAGATATATTTCTCTTTCTAGTGGCTACCGTGTTTCACTAAAGAAGTGTGCCGCGGTTCTTAAGGATAATTATCCTTTAGTTATTCTGAATTCCCTTCTCAATTCCAGCCAAAGTTATTTATAAAAATTGCAATTATCTTGTAAAAATGCTTGACCACCATAAGATTCTGAATAGGACATCCAGACTGTGAGAAAACAGTGAGGCACATTAATGAACACAAACTGGATAGGCACATTTCTGGTTTTTGTTATTGTTTTAAAAGGCACACATTATGCAATCCATATAAAAATAAATTAACTCTACAGCATTAATTCATCAAAACAATCACAACTTCTATAAAGTTACTAACTGCAGAAGTAAATTTCTCTGCTGTCTTTTGCAAGCTTATTTTAAAACACATTGCACTTGAGGATTAAAAAATCATATAAAACACCATTTACAGTTATATGTTTATAAGAATCAAATGATAAATTTTTTGCATACAACTCGAACTCTGGTCTGATTACTTTATGGCACATAACTCAATTTGATTGAGTGTTCTAAATTAACATTATCCAAAGCTTAGATTTCACGTTATGTTTATATCCATTCAATAGCAAACATGAAATTTCAAAACTATCTCTGACTCTAAAAATTTATGGAAAGCTAAATTATTTTGTGCTTGCTCTCCTGAAATTTTAGGCCTGATATTCCACTCTAACCCCTTTTTTCAATATAGACACTGAATTTAAAATTTCAGCCTATGAAAACTGTTTTACTGAAACTCAATGTGCTTCTTGAATATTGCAGTTGATCATTTACAGCGTTGAAAATCATTTCAGTGCTATTTCTTTCAATGACTCACTTCAAAGGTGCAATTTAATATTTGTAGTCAGCTCTCAAATATGTCTGTTTCACAGGCATAAGACAAGTTAGAATAGTGTTTGTAAAGAACAAATAATGCAGAATGGCAGGTTTGTACTACTCCCTTGAGCCAACCACTTTCCTAGGTCCATCAACAATCCGCCAGGTATCGTCCTGAAAAACACCAAGTAGACCTTTGCAATTACAATTTCAAAGAATTCAAAGGACTTTTGCTGTGGTTAGAGATACAGATCCCCAGTTCCCATCTGCTGTTTACAATACATCAGAATCAGATCAAGCTGTTCGGCTATATTGACCATGGGGACTCTTTCCCAGTCTCTACCTGGCACCTTGTACCAAAGGTCAAAGAAAAAACTTCCATGCCTTTAGACTAGAATAGAGATATTCCCCACGTGCATTAAAAGGCTTGAACTCTCCCAACTTACCAGTGGCAAACCGCTTCTTTACTAAGGAAAGCCTATAACCAGTGCCTACAAGTTCAATGTCCACTCCTGAGAGGGTACTGCCCTCGCTGAAGAATTGCACTGCAAGTGTTGTGGGTTTACTGGGTCCATCTGAAAGATCAAATTTTGCTCTAAGGGACCCAGAACCTACAAGGAAAAGAATAAAGAACTTACATAGGGTAACACGTTTCATACTAAAAAATTCAAATGAGCAAGTAAGCTAAACTACCAGGGGTGCCAAAAAAATGTATACAAGTGGACACTTTGGTCAGTGTTGCTCAAGCAGTAGTTTGCTGTAATCAGAAGTGTCTGGACGCTGATGGTAACCACTTTGAGCACCTCTTGTAATTGCAGAAGTCAAACGTGACTTGTATTCATCTTTTGTTATTGGTATATATTGACTGTTACAATTTTAATAGTTTTCCCTTTCTTAAAATGTGTATACATTTTCTTGGCACCCTCTGTATTACCAGTCCCATGCCAAATTCATGAAATGCGTGCAGTAAATGAATCATCATCCTGTTTCCAAATCAGACTTTACTAGTGGATCTGAATTTTCGTTAAGTAAATAATTTTTTTAAAAAAGATTTTTATTGGGGAATTGGGGGATGGGTACAGCGCTGGGGAATCAGGGGAAGGGGAACAGACAAGTTGCTGTCCTTTTGTTCTTCATTCTAGTTGCTTCACTGGCCCAAGTTGGCACCATCATTGCACTCTTCCCAGGCGAGGCAGATCAGTCGATGGCTTCTGAATGGCCGCTCTCGCTGGCTGCTGGCTACACACGGTAGCCCATGGCAACCCGCTGCAGCAGGGGCTGCAGCCTACGCCGTCGCTGGCAACTCACAGCAGCCCAGCTCCAGGTTGAGCTGTTGTTCAGCATCTTAGCTGTAGAGGGCAGTGTCACTGTCCCTCTTATGTGGGATCCGTACCGGGTCCTCTGGCGTCCCAAGCCAGCTCTTAACCAACACGCCCCTCGGCCCGCCCAAGTAAATAATCTTAATCCACCCATTCTTTTCTTTAACTTAATACAAATATCACAGGTGTTTGCTGTTGAGACTCCTAAGCTACATGCATGCAGAAGTGAATCAAAAGAAGAAGGAAGTCAGCTGAGGGCAGGTCAAAGCCCTAGGAGGAATATGAGTAGGAATAAAGTCAAAAGGAAATGACTGCTGTACCATATCATGGGGGTGGGAGAAGGGCAAAAAGGAAAGACAGCTAAGCTAAGACGGGGAAGAGCTACACCAACATTACTATTTTCTATTCACCATTTTAAAATTTAACTGGTCTAATAGATATTTCTGAGGTGCTTTCTTTTCAATATAATCATTTATTCAACATACTTCATACGTAAGAGCATGGGAGAAATACTAAACCAAATAATTATGATGAATATGATAAATGCTGTAAAAGAGCTCTCGAGCCGTGGGGCACAAAAGCACATAAAATGGTGGTGGAGGTGATGGTGTGTATTTCAGGCAGAGGTAACTACAGGTATAGAGACTGGAGGCCTGAGAGAGCATGACGCGTTTCAGGGAACTGCATCTATACCATAAGAGCTGGAGAACAGGAGGAGGACAGAAGATGAGACTAGAATAGTAGCAAGGAATAAGCTCTAAATATCTTTATATGCCAAGATAAAAAATAACCATAGGGAGCCACCAAAGATAAGGAAGACAAAAACATTTCAGATGAGTGTTTTAGAAGAGGAGAGAGGTGCAAGATGCAAGGTAGGAAAGCCAACTGAAAGTCAATAAAATAGTCTAGGACTCTAGGTGTCAGGAAAAGGGGATCTGAACTAGGCAAAGGAAAGGAAAGAGGGAATGCATTTGTAAGATATTCAGGAGCTGGAAACTAGAGGGGAGAAAGGAGGAGTCTACCAGGTTTCTGGTTGGGGAAAGACAGAATTGCTAGCTGGCAGGAGTGACATTCTATGAATCCTTGCACAGAAGTTGAACATTACAGAGAGAAATCTGGAAGAAGATATCGTAACACTGGTCCACCCTATACGATTGTGTCCGGTGGCACAGATCCATAGAGGAGATGAATTGCTGCCTAATTCTTAATCCTTGTCCAAACCCTCCTTAAACAAGTACTGTTCTTGATTCACAATTCAATTCTGTGAAAGTTCGCCACAGGCTAAGAGCAGCCACCTTGGCAATCCTTAAGCTCCAGAATTACTTCCCGTCCCTCTTCTGGGCATAACGCCAGGAGAGAAACAGATTTCTATTTTATAGTATTCTAATTTGGATATTTCTTTTTAAAGGCTGACCAAATCAGAACCACATTTATAGTATTTTTCCATTTCCTCACATAGACACTCTGATACCTGAATAGCAGAGGGAACTATTAAAATATCTACTTAGAAAATTTGTCCTATTTTTGAGAGAACAAATTCCCTTCTTGGTAAATATTTACAATAATATCGTTTTATGAAATAGAGGGAAAACACATTCTTTTCTTCCTTGCTAACTGGGTTTAAACCCTCAATTCAAGTAGGATTTCTGGTTTACTTCCAGTTTCAAATAAAATTTTCAGTTTTGTTCCCCCAAAAGCCATATAGCTGCATTAAAAGTCAGCACAGTCAGCCACCTGAAAACAGGCCACCTTTCAGTACCAAACAGTAGCAAAGGAACTATAGATTATTAGCTTGATTATTTCACCCAATGTGTGATTCTCTAGTAACAGTCTGACTCGGCATGGCAGGTACAAATGAACAGACAATACAGATAGATATGCTCCTGGTCCTTTATGCAGAAATATCTATGAGAAAAACTGATAATGATTTATGTTTTGATCACATTATGCTTAAAATGTGTAAAACAGAAAAAGCTCTGCAAAACTTGAAGAACTACAAAACCTACTTAGTAGGAAAAGTTATTGGAGGTTAATTAGGCATTCAAAAGAGGGAAAGATAATCCTTTGATTAAGAGAAAATGTAATTAGGGCCAGCCGAGTTACGAGTTGGTTAAGAGCTGGCTTGGGACGCCAGCTCTGAGCTGCAGGACCCTGGTTCGGATCGATCCCACAGGAGGGCCAGTGACACTGTCCTCTACAGCTAAGATGCTGAACAACAGCTCAACCTGGAGCTGGGCTGCCGTGAGTCACCGGAGATGG